AGAGGGAGTTGGCCTGTCGACTGAGCGATGGTATGGTGGTGATGTGGTGATGATGTGGAGATGGTGGTATATCGATCCCAGGATCGAAACCTGGATCTGGACAGAAATGGGGTGGAATGGGTGTGGGAATGGTGTTAAAACTTAACCAACTATTATTATACACTTGATATGCTAATACATAGGAAACCCCAGCTTTATAGGTTTCTTTTGATTATATCCAACTTATATCCAATTTTCACAAAGCAATGCTCATAGGGTGGGAGTGGCCAGTACAAATCGTACTGATAAATTTTGGCACACATGTTCTGCTGAGGAGTATAGCTCTGAGGAGTTTGACGGTTAATGGGTTCGTTCCTACGCTCGAGTTTGGCGATCTCATCTTCAAGCTGTTCTGAATGAATGCTACTTTTGATTCCGCCAATGCGGCGATGTAATAATTTATGTAATTTCGTACTATTTGTACTCTGATATTATCGTTGTATGGATGTGGTATTCGACTGAAATTTGGGTAATACGATCTACAATGGTCATAATACACTTTGACTCTGTGGATTTCCCTTCGCGGAAATCAGGTCGTTTCACGTAGATACATACTCTGTGTGTCTTTAATTTGTACCCTCTCGTTAATTGTTGGAACCATGAGATAAAAAAAAATCGTTGGAACCATAGACTTTCTTGTTGCTCGTCTCGGCTGGCTTCCCTCCCAAGAGACTGTCGACGCTGTTCACTACTCCTCCCGAGAGACCATCGATGATGGTGTGTCATGACTAAGGATGAAAACGGAACGGAAATATCCCGAACCGAATCGCATCGTTTTCTATATTTAATCCGATCGAATCCGCATTTTCTTGTCCGACTTTACCGTTTTCGCTTTCGCATTTGAGATGTTTCGTATTTCAAATGTAAAAGTAGAAAACGGTTTACACATTTTTCGACCGTTTTCTACTTTTCTACTTTTAATTTGAAATATTCCGAATTCAAAATTCGGTTTAAACCGAATTTGGTCAACTGCACAGGTCATACAGCCCAATTACAGGCTGCTCACCACGCAACTGCGTTATTTCTACTGGTGGCTAGCTGTCCCCTCTTATAGACGGCGCCCAGCCTCATCTATCTTATTATGTATTTGGTTGTGCACTTGTTTAATGCTATGCACTTGAACTAGATCATGTACTTGTTAGTTGTGAACTTGTTATATATTTGGTCATGCACTTGTTTAATGCTATGCACTGTGGGTCGGTATTTCGTATTGAATTTTCGCATACCGACCGTGTTCGACATAATTTCGCTCGAATTTGTTCGTTTCCGAAATTCTAGATATTCCGTAAGTTCGTGTTCGTTTTCGTGTCCGGCTTGTCCGCTTTCGCTTTCGCTTTCGTATTTTAAATATAAAAGTAGAAAACGGTCGAGGAGTTTTTCGACCGAGTTCGACCGTTTTCATCCTTAGTCATGACCCAGCCATGGGCCCGTAGGAGAAGTAGCTAATACATTGTCGGAAAAAGTCTACTTTATCTCCTTCAACTATTGCAAATGTCAGTTTTTCCTCTCTAAACTACAAAATCGGACATAACTCCTCCCATATCTTTTCAAACCGGACATACTACCTCTCTGGCTGTTTCTCTAGGTGTTTTTTCTCTTTTTCTTTTATATTTATTTTAGCTAAATTTTTGAAAAATCATAGTAAATTATAGAAAAATTATATAATAGAAAATTCAATTTTGTTGGACTCCACATGAGTAGATCTACATAGTAAACATATGATATGGCATGTTTTAGTATAAATTTTTTGCTCTAACTTTAGATCTATGTTTTTCTGTGATTAATTCATAAATGCAGTTTCTGTGGTCCTATTGTGGTGAAATTTTTATAGTAGACTAATTATTGTATGCTTGAGATATAGTAAAAATTTCATGCTCGTTGGATCATGTATGACTGAGTTATAGACTTATTCAGGTTTATACTTATTAAATAGTTTTAAAATAATTAAAAGTGTGTAAAAAGAGAAAATGTATGTTCTGTGTGTAATTTTCTCTGTGACAACATGATTATATTAAGTTTTCATAAGATATAACAATAGTAATATTACATAGAGAATGGATATTTTCTATTTTTAGACACTTTTAACTATTTAATAAGTATAAACCTGAATAAATCTATAATTCAATCATACATGAGGCAAACACCTAGCATTCCAAGACTCTGTTGTAAGAAATGGACTAAGTATTGTAAGCTCGTACTCATTATCGGATTCTGGATGTAAAACGTGGATTGTTTCGAGTTCTTCTTTAAGGTGTGCTCGACGAAACTACCGTTTTAACCACTTTTTTGGTGCTTAGTGTCTAGTGGAAGACGAGCGCCTCAAAGTGTGTTATTTCAGACGGTTCTACCACAAGTTGGATGCAAATCTCTTGACAGGTTTTGTACCAATGACACTTGGTAGCACGTTATATCTGTTATTCTTTCCGGGAACTATCTTGAAGGGAACCTAAACTTCCTGGCTAGTCTTTTGAATTGTAGACAACTCCAACAACTTGATGTTGGGTTAAATCATTCCACTGGAAGAATCCCTGACTATATTGGAAATCTCTCCAGTCAATTGTCAATTCTTTGCAGATAGAAACAATTTAACTGGTGAAATTCCTGCTACCATGTCAAACCTAAGCAGTCTGAATTGGATAGACTTATCCGAAAACCATATGAGTAGCTCAATTCCAAAATCAATCATGATGATGAACAAGCTCATTGTTATGTACCTCTATGGCAACCGTTTGTCGGGACCCATCCCGGAACAGCTTTGTGTGCTTGGGAACTTAGAACAACTTGTCCTCCATGACAATCAACTGTCTGGCTCCATACCAGATCAGATAGGCAACCTCTCCAAGTTAATATACTTGGATCTATCTCAAAACCGGCTATCATCAACTATACCAGCAAGCTTATTCCATCTTGACAGTCTCGTGCAACTTGACCTGTAGCAGAATTCACTGAATGGTGCATTGCCAGTTCAGATAGGTTCCTTGAAACAAATTTCCATCATTGATCTCTCTAGCAACATCTTCGTTGGTAGCCTTCCTGGTTCCTTTGGACAACTGCAGACACTAACCAACTTAAACCTGTCACACAACTCATTCAACGATTCAGTTCCAGAGTCTTATGGCAACCTTAAGAGCTTGAAATCATTGGACCTGTCATACAATGATCTATCTAGTACAATCCCAGGGTACTTGGCCAAATTGACAGAACTCGCTATCTTGAACCTGTCCTTCAACAAGCTACATGGTCCGATACCAGAAGGAGGTGTCTTTGCAAACATTACCCTTCAGTCTTTGATAGGGAACTCAGCTCTTTGTGGTGTCTCCCGTTTAGGGTTTCTGCCATGCCAAAGTAACTATCACTCAAGTAATAATGGACGACGAACCCTAATATGATCAATCCTTGCTAGCAACATATTAGTTGGAGCTCTAGTTTCCTACCTATATGTGTTAATCAGGAAGACATTGAAGAAGCAAGAGATGGTGGTTTCTGCTGGAATAGTTGACATGAACAACTATAGATTGGTATCGTACCATGAAATTGTTCGGGCCACTGCGAAGTTCAGTGAAAGCAACCTGCTAGGTGCTGGAAGCTTTGGGAAAGTTTACAAGGGACAACTAATTGATGGCATGGTGGTTGCAATAAAAGTTTTAAACATGCACTTGGAACAAGCCACTAGAAGCTTTGAAGCAGAGTGCCGTGTTCTGCGCATGGCTCGACACCGTAATTTTATAAGGATACTAAACACCTGTTCGAACATGGACTTCAAAGCATTGGTTCTACAGTACATGCCTAATGGTAGCTTGGAAACATGTTTGCACAGTGAAAACAGGCCATGTTTAGGAATCCTGAAGAGGATGGAAATTCTGTTGGATGTGTCAAAAGCAATGGAGTATCTGCATTATCAGCACTGTGAGGTAGTCCTGCACTGTGACTTAAAGCCAAGCAATGTTCTCTTTGATGAAAACATGACCGCACATGTGGCAGACTTCGGCATTGCAAAGCTATTATATGGTGATGACAACTCTGCAGTTTCTGTGAGCATGCCAGGAACAATAGGGTATATGGCACCAGGTACCCCCAGTCACACTAGTCTTATTTTTTATCATGCTAAATTGCTAATACATGTATTGTTGCAATTAATACTTCTGCTTGTAAACATTTTTTTTACCAGAGTACGGTTCCAGTGGAAAAGCATCAAGAAAGAGTGACGTATTCAGCTATGGGATCATGTTTCTTGAAGTACTCACAGGAAAGAAGCCAACGGATCCATTGTTTGGCGGACAACTAAGCCTCAAGATGTGGGTCAATCAAGCATTTCCAAGAAAACTTATCGATGTTGTGGATGAACGTTTACTGCAAGACCCTTCAATTAGCTGCATGGATAACTTCCTTGAGTCAATGTTTGAACTGGGTTTACTATGCTCGCGTGACATACCTGACGAAAGGGTGAGGATGAGGGATGTGGTTGTGACACTGAACAAGATAAAGAAGGATTATTATCATTCTACAGCATTAGCAGGTCCCACGTCATTTGGTGTTGACGAGCATTTCAATGTGCAAGTAAGCAGTGCATGACAACTGAGTTACTCGACAAACTTATTGTCAAAGAATACCAAACATTGTTATTAGATGCACTGCCAGTCATTGAACTTTCAAGTAACAGATAATAACAGTGAACAGAGACATAAGGTGTATCCTGATTCTTCAGAGTATAATGTGTATGATGAGACTTCCTTGCCTCATACAGAGGAATTTCCATTGTTATGTAAATTGAAACAGAAACCAAAAACTTGCAGTAAAAGTTCCTGCATTCTCAAATTAACAGCAAAGCATTACAGGATGCAGAAGAAAGTGAAACCTACCACAGCATAATGCAGCTCCTCACGTAACATTTCTGACGAAAAAATGGCAAGCCTACAAGAGATCTACCTAGCAATTTAAACTGCAGTAGGAAAAACAGTTTCCTACCACTTGGCTACCCCATCCTACATAGTATAAAACACAACAATCATATCCTACTGATCAAACCACAGATTAGCAATCGCTAGGGAGTGGACAATGTACATACATCAAATGTGGCTTGTACATCCAGTTGATCAAGCCACAAATTTCAGGCAGTGTGTATCATTGTGTATGACTTGACAGCGGAAAGAACAGAACCTTGTTCCACACCTCACGTATGCGTAGTTTGCAGAACTACCACAAACTGAGCAGTAGTGCCGTCGAGATGAAGTACTCGGTGGACCCACAGCAGCCCTCAAATATGATGGGACATGAGGAGGCAGGGATTCCAGATTTGCCTGTCACAGTTCCAGAGTGAAAATCTTTCCAGTATTGTACTGACAAAATAAACATGACAATAAAGAAACTTATAGCTCAAGGTTGCTTACTTCTTGTAAGACATCCATGAATGATCTTGCTGCCCTCTTCTCCAAAGCTTTCCCTTGCCTTGTCTTGCGTTTCATAATCTTGGACTGCTTTTTTTGCATGAGAACTGTATAAAGGAAAGCAGAAAATAAAAGATGGCTTACAGCATTGAACTAAAGTTATCAGTGGGTGCAACATTGAATGAACATCCACAGATCCACAACCCATAGACTATAACACAAATGCAAACATTTAAAGAAATTGTGAACCCAACCTTTGCAGTTTACAAGCTGTAGCATGTGGAGTTTAAAGATATATAAATTACTAACTTTAGGGGAATTCCAGATGCTAATAACACGGGTTGACAAGCTGCAGCATGTGAACCTCAAAGATATCTAAACAACTGACTTTAGGGGCATTTCAGATGCTAATAACAGCACCTTATGAATAATTTGCATTGTGTTCATGCCAGATGTGTTAGAAGCCAGTGTCTGCTTTAAATATTTTCTTTCAAGGATAATTTTAATCTTACTTTTGAAACTTTTGCAATGGCAAGAAAGAAAAAAAATGATTCTTATTCTGCAAACTGGATACTGCAAGCAATATCAAAAAATATGTCATACACAAGAAATCTGTATTTCAATACTTGCTGTTTGCAAAGAGCAACATTCTGTCATTGAGTTTGTGCATACTGTATCCACCTTATCCATTTTTACATTATGGAATTACTATATGAAGATAATAAAGGAGAAAGAAACTAACCAGGGTCTTCCTCATCTGTGGATCCGTACTCATCATCATTAAGATCTACCACCTCAACCCCAGCATTATCACTCTCAAGAGCTTCAAGGCGAGCTAATGCAGCCTGCATGGCATTACAGATATGAAGGTATCCATAATGGGACAGCAGAACATCAAGGAGAATAATTTCAGACACAATGATTGATCGGCGACCTATAAGCACAAAATTGTCCCAATCTGAATATGTATGGAAGCTGAATTAATTAACACCTCAAAGTGAAATCCTTCGGTAAGGAGCCATGAGAAAGGCACAGGCACCACAATACACATGGCACATAATACGCATTGCAAACCCAGGATAGAACTCTTTTCCTAAAATGTTTTCCTAGAGCATATACTTACTATTACCAAAACTACTTTTCAATGAGGCCAGATGGCCAATCGTTCTTCTAGAAAACAGAAACAACAATAAGGCCAATCACTTGAAATGAAATGCTTCTTTTATACTTGCTAGATAGAATTGGAGCATTCTGACCACAACACATGAGGATAGACAATGTAGAGAGAGCATCTATCCAGTTCTAAGTTCAACACAGTGAACTGAAAAAAAACCCCGCCGAGGAAAGGGAATTGGCATCCTCATTGGCGAACGACCACGGGAAACAGCTTGGGATAGGAGGAAGAGAGGGGGGACGTACGAGCAGTCAGTGGAATCCCCTTGTTACCTGGGCGCGGTTGTCAGAGCTGGCGAGCGCGGACGCCATGCGCGTGGCCATGCGGCGCGTGCGGGCGCTGGTCCGGCGGAACGGCCCGACGTTCTCCTCCTCCCCATCCATCTCCGGTGACCAACAGAGCCAGACAGTGGCGGGCGGCCCTTTGCGCTGGATGAGGAGACAGGCGTGGGATTAAGCGGGCGGCGTCGGCGTCAGCGTGGATGTTGGGCCAGGCCAGGCTGCATTATCCATGATCCATCTCACACACTTCAGTTCAATTTCAATACCCTCTGATGGGTTGGGCTAGCCTCCTTCCGACCAGATTTCAATGGGCCGACATGGCGAAGCTTTTTGGTGCCAATTTATAAAAAAATTGCTCAAAAAAAAAAAAAAATCATTCTACCTCCCTAAAATATTGCGCAGTCTTATTTACTTCTGGAATTTTGAAATCAGACATCCAACCTCCTAAACTCTAAAAACCGTTCAAAATACCTCTCTACCTTGGTTTATAGTGGTTTTGAAGGCAATTTTGTCCTTTTTAGTTAAAAAATGATAAATACTTGATAATAAGGTTATTAAAGTAGGAAATGTCCCTAAGATTTAAGAAACTTAGAAAAAAGTTCTAGAGATAGATTGGGATATGAAAAATCCAAATAAAATATTTAGAGCTCATTAAAATATCTCTAAATGGTTCAAAAATAGATTAACTCTAGGAAAATAAAAAATATCCAAAAAACTAGAAAATTCCCGAAACATTCTAATTGCTATGTAAATTTGTTGTGAAGACTTTTTTGCAACAAAAAATGTAATATGCAATCAACACAAATGATAGCATGAATGTATTTAGCATTATCATCTGTTGCATTCATACTGGTTGCATCCTATATTTTTGTCATGCAAAGTTTTTAAAAGTTTATACATTAAATAGAATGTTTCAGAATTTTTCTACATTTTCTAGACATTTCCTATTTTCCTAGAGCTAAACCTATTTTTAAGCTTTATAAAGATGTTTTCATTAGCTCTAAATTTATACAAAATATCACTTCTTTTGTTGTGGCTTGCTTTATTAACAAACGTTCTTCAAGAATGACTTAAATTTGAGTATGCTTGTACAAATTTTTTTGAATAAGACGAGTGATCAAACTTAGGGTCAAAAAAAATCAAACGAATTATAATTTGAAATGGGATGAGTAAAAGGGAAACAGTCGAGGAGCAATAGCTGTAGAGAGTAGCACGTCCGCAAACACACTTGCAAACACTAGTAATCACGGAAAGGGCTGGAAATAAATTAAATCGGATTAGCCAGCAGGACATGGTGTCAAACCATGTCATCATCTTCAGCCATGCAAATCTCGGAAGTCGATGGAGCGGCGCCAGCGCCGGCACCGGCGGTGTGGACCTTGGAAGAAGACGTTGATGGAGCGCCTGCGCCGGTGGTGGAGGAGACCCGCTCGAAAGTCGATGGTGGAGCGGTGGCGGCGTGGTTCACAGCCTCCTCCTCCTCCTCCCTCTACAGCTTGTCGGTGAAGGTCTCCATCCCCATGTAAAAGAGAAGGAGCCAGACATAGGAGAGGAACTCGCCGCCGTTGCCCAAAGCCTTGGCGTGTAGGTAGCCTCTGCACCTGCCGGCGGAGAAGCAGAGCATCTCAATCCAGACGCCTTGGATCACCTCCCACATCTTCTTCTCATCACCTAGGTGTTGCAACGCTTGAGCAAGCATCCAAGCCTCGTGGATGAAAGTTGCTGAGATGGTGGCTTCTGATGATGAATTTAGCTTGCTGATAATCTTGTCTGTAAGCTCTCTCTCTTATTATCCAGTGGCAGTGGTGCCTGATTGTCACCCTTGAATATGGCCTGGAGCTCTTCATGGGCTGCTGTGAAGAGATTACGCCTGGAGCCAGGCAACAGCATCTCAGGATTGACGAACAAGAGGTACGCCATGTAGTTGGACATGTGTGTGCATAGGACAGCTTTACAGTGGGTCAACTCTTGGTCGCATCGAGGACACCATGTCGTAGTCCGGTTGTTGCCGGCAGGTGGTGAATTAGTAGTCCAACACTATTTCCCTACCATTTCTCTGATCCTTTTTCTTGCTCCATGGATTAACTCTGGTATTCCTAGGAGTAGAATGGAGACAGGAGTTGATAGCCTTGTTTTCCATGCTGGGACCTTAGCAAAGGCACATGTCGTCGTATGCTCTGCAAAGGAGCCGTTGAAGAAGCAGAGATCTGTGGCCATGTGCCATAGGAGGACACTCTCATCAAATGGCCTCTTCTTTCCCATGCTGCTCAAGCCCAGACGACGATGACCGTTGCTGCTGCTAGAGGTGGTTGTGCTTAAGATCAAGAAGCTAAGCACCGGCCAGTGTGTGCTATGGTTGTTGAACCTGCGGTAGCTAGGGATGTCGTGTATTTGTTTCTTCCACCCATCTTTCAAATATCCAAGAACGAATATTGAAATTATGGCAGAGGAGAAGCATGGCTCCATGCCCTTGCCTCCAAACTTCCACTTGATGTTGTGCTTCATGTTGCTGCTGGCAAAGTACCCTATGAGGCTGTATTGAGCGACCATCTAGGGCCACAACTTCCCAAAAAGACTCACCGATGATTCAACCATACTACTAGTTGCGTCCCCAACCAAAACAGGAAGCCCAGAATCAATCTCTAGAATAGCAGTACAACAGAATATGGTATACGTAATCTTGACATCAATACCATCATCATCATGTTTATCATGTGCTTCTTCGCTGTGACTCCGGTGGTGGAAGAGACTGATGGAAGCCAATGGCAGCACCCAACATGAATTACGTATGAATGCGCGACAATTGAGCTTCACCATATGGTAGAGCCCGTCACTAACAGTTTTCAACTCCTTTGCCAAATCAGTTTGCGTGGTAAAGCCTGCGGTCTTTAGTTTGGTGTAGAGAAGATGGAACGTAGCGGCGAGCCCTCTCTGCACGTGGCCATATGCTCTCTCCTCGCTAATGCCCTAGAAATACTTAAGGATACCGAGGCGGAGACGATAGGGAGATGTTAGGTTGACAAATAGCCTGTAGGAGGCCTCACCGAGCAGTCGAAGATATTTGCTGACTAGATCATTTTCTTTCATTACTTGTCTTACTTGCTCAATGACTAGTGCACAGAAGCATCCTTCTCCTTCTTGCGATGGAGAATTTTTGTTGTGATGATGAAGCCGGCCATGTCGTTGTTGCCTCGTCGCCCTCGAGCTTGCCTAGATAGATAGATAGATAGATAGATAGGGAGAGAGAGAGAGAGAGAGAGAGAGAGAGAGAGAGAGAGAGAGAGAGAGAGAGAGAGAGAGAGAGAGAGAGAGAGAGAGAGAGAGGAGGTGGGATCGCAGGAGGCCTCACCAAGCTCTTGAAGCCGTTTTCTATTTCTTTATCTCCATTGATCAAGTTGTTTCATCAAAATCCTTAATGGTTCTATGAGTTGTGCACATAAGCGGCATTCTTTTGATGGAAAATGATGATTGCCAACCTCCATAGAAGCTGCAGGTGTTGACACGTCGTCCACAACATTGTTGCCTATATACAGGGGCCAAATATATAGTTAAGCAAATTAATAAGTCGATGGGAATTATTTATAACCACTACCGGAATCTCAAGCTTTGTTGTGTGGCCTAAAAACACTCGGCAAACCATTTGCCGAGATAACACTCGGCAAACAGAACTCGGCATACTTTGACTTGGCAAACAACTATTTGCCGAGTGTTTTTTTATTGCGCACTCGGCAAATGGTTTGCCGAGTGTCAAATTTGACACTCGGCAAAAAAAAGTGGTTTACCGAGTGTTTTTCCAAAATACACTCGGCACAGGATTATTGTTTGCCGAGTGTTTTTGGGAATTACACTCGGCAAACCTATTTTCCAAAGAAAAAATAATTTTTTTTCTCATCGTACCATTATTGTTTGCCGAGTGTTTTTGAGAATTACACTCGGCAAACCTATTTTACAAAGAATTTTTTTTTCTCAGCATATTTCAGTTTAATAGCTGTCATACAAAACACTCTTAGTACACCATATCTGCATGCACATCATGCTCCTGGCAACATAATTCTCATAATAACCACATGGACATAGAAATGAATATGACAAATTTAAGAGACTAATGACAGGTACAAGTTCAGAAGAATCAACATCCAAAAAAATTCAAAAACTATGCTACCAAAATAGTGAAGGTAAAACCATCAGCACCCCCAGTAGACATGTCTTCTACTCCATTCTTCATGAAACTAGCTTCTTCACTGCTACAAGAAGGAAGAAATGTGAACATAGTTTGTTGTCCCACCTTTAGGTATAGAAGTAACCACATGTTTACACACTTATAACTAACTATATCATTCAAATTCACTGTGAACTTCGACTTTGCAACAGCTAACCAGTGCACGGCCAACTCCAATAGTTATTCTTTTATTTACTTTTCCTAAAAAAATAGGACAATGATTTGATTTTTCTATATAGTTATGACCTGGACACCCACCTCTTAGGCAGAAAAGAGGCCATTGCAAACAGAAGATAAAAAGTTCATGTATGCAGAAAAAGGTGCTAGGAAAACATCTATTTGGACATTTTAGAAAAAGGTTTTGTTGAGCTACCATTTCAGTGATGAATTGTTGGCTTACAGAACTATGTGTGAGAAATTTAAAGGTGCACAAGTTGTGTGAGAAGAACCTTTTCTATTAGAAGAACATTTTCGATCCCCTAACTTCTCCTTCCTCACCTGGAGCAAAAGAACAAGAGCAAAAGAATTCGAGAAATGGCTCAGATTTACCCATTATCAGCATGACAACTGCAACTTAATTTTATCTGGAACTTAATTTAATTCTATCTCTCTAATGGGAATTGAACTGGCTATAGAACTGGTTGCTTGTACTGGTACAAGCCATCCTAGTTAAGCAGCAAACAGAACAAAATATTCCAAATATCAGCTCATAAGGTGCTAAAGTGCATAAGTTCTCTAATGAAAACTTGATTCATCACAGCCACTCAGGAGTAGTACAAAACAAAAAAAGTCATAAGGCATAGTTAAGGAAGGGGAGAGCAGCGCGGCACGAGACTGGGGTTCCATATCATCTCAGCTAGACAAATATCACATATCAAAATGA